AGCAGAGCAATAACAAAATGAAATTTAAAAGCATAAAACAAACATAACAATAATAGGCAAGCATCAAGCAACAAAGGAACTGGGGGGGGGGGGGAGGCCAAAATATGGGCTGATTAGAGAGTAATTGGTTCAATAAGGTGGATGAACATGCATAATACCATAGAAAATATCATTAAAACAGAGCAATCTAACAGGATCAGAAATAATTCAGTTTGACTTATAAAATCTGAATACTAATGTGATATAGGAAATTCAGGTTGAATGATAATTAGGTTGCGATAGCGGTCGTATATCATGGGGTCGTCGGTCAAATGTACAACGAAACATCCATGTTTTTAATTCCTTTCGGAATATGGCTAGGGAGGGCGCCAGCCTGATCTCCCTGGGAGTTAGTTCCAGAGGCAAGGGGCCACCACCGAGAATGCCCTTTCCCTCATCCCCACCAATCGCTCCTGAGACAAGGGCGGGAGCAAGAGAAGGCCATCCCCGGACAATCTTAAGGATCGCATGGGCTCATAGGGGAGGAGGTGGTCACGCAGATAGGTAGGTCCTGAATCATTTAGAGCTTTATAGGTAACAAGCTGCACCTTGAATTGGGACTGGAAACTTATTGGCAGCCAATAGAGCTGTTTAAACACGGGGGGGGGGGGGGTTGACTGCTCCCTTTAACAATCTGGCCGCCAACCTTTGCACTAGCTGTAGTTTCTGAACCGTCTTCAAGGGCAGCCCTACGTAGAGAGCATTACAGTAGTCCAGTCTTGAGGTAACTCCTTGGCAGAGAAGGCTGAAGCCCTGACAAAACTATAACTTTCATGATTCCATATTATTGAGCCACGGCAGTTAAAATGTGATCAAACCTACCATAGAGATGCCTCTGCACAGTTATACTAGTTTGATACCCTATAGACTAGGCATGGGCAAACTTTGTACTTTAAGGTGGTAGGAATTGTGGGAGTTAGGAATTGTGACTGTTAGGAATTGTGGGAGCTGAAGTCCAAAACACCTGGAGGGACGAAGTTTGCCCATGCTTGTTCCAAAACCAGAGTGGCTTCCCTATCCCATTGACATGAGACACATATCAGGCTGCAAATTGGAACCATAGTATGCTTTTTGGTCTTTGTTGGGGCACCCAAGCACCGCCTCACATCCCTCTCCATTCCCTCCAGACGCAATGGTATCTTATGCCTCCTTAAGGAGCTCAGTGTGCCCAAGGCGGTCCAGGAGCAGCCCCCTCTCCCCGCTCCGTCTGCTCCATTACTGTATTGATCGGCGAGATATTGCAGAAGACAGAAGAGCAAGCGATTCTGATTGCCGGCACTTAGCCTGACAGCAATCCAATAGCCTTGAGGCCCTGATGTACAGCGGTCCAGAGCCAGTGGGCTGCCTTCGTTGCCGCCGTCTCTTTAAGACTTCTCAGCTGCAGAGGAAAAAAGAGAAGGACCAAAAGAGAAGACAGCAAAATGCACAGAACTTGTCTTGTTGTGTTTCCACTTCTTTTGGATTAAATGCTACTGCGAATGGATTTACAGGCACAATGCAATGGATAAGGAACGGTCTTTTCCCAAAACATAAGACACCTGTAACTGCAAGGGATATGTTTATAGCACTTAGCACTTAGGTGATCCCTCGTTGGACGAGTAAGATGGTCTTCCATGATGGGTTTCCTTGTGGATTCGTAGGTGGCTGTGGAGCCCTATTCTTGACCTGCATCTTCTCCCACAGTGAAGGCATTGGTTTCCAGGTGGAAGGCGGTCCCGGTCGGGGTTGGCTTGACGCACCTTCCTCCTGGCACGTTTCTCTCTTTCACCCTCCACTCGTGCCTCTTCTGCAGCACTGCTGGTCACAGTTGACCTCCAGCTGGAGCGCTCAAGGGCCAGGCCTTCCCAGTTCTCAGTGTCTATGCCAGAGATTTTAAGGTTGGCTTTGAGGCCATCTTTAAATCTCTTTTCCTGTCCACCAATGTTGCATTTTACATTCTTAAGTTCAGAGTAGAGCAATTGCTTTGGGAGATGGTGGTCAGGCATCCGGACAATGTGGCCGGTCAAGCGGACTTGATGGCAGAGGACCATCGCTTCAGTGCTGGTGGTCTTTGCTTCTTCCAGCACGCTGACGTTTGTCCGCTTGTCTTCCCAAGAGATTTGCAGGATTTTCCGGAGGCAGCGCTGATGGAATTGTTCCAGGTGTTGCATGTGACGTCTATAGACAGTCCACATTTCGCAGGCATATAGCAGGGTTGGGAGGACAGTAGCTTTATAGACAAGCCCCTTGGTATCCCTACGGATGTCGTGGTCCTCAAACACTCTCTGCTTCATTCGGGAAAATGCTGCACTTGCAGATCTCAGGCTCTTAAGCTCCTATATATAGCTGGACTGTGGTCACCTAATGATAACCTAAATGGTTCTGGCCCAGTTTACCTGTCCGAACGTATCTCTCCCTATGAACCAGCCAGGAGCTTAAGATCGTCTGGGAAGGCCCTGCTCTCGGTCCCGCCTCCTTCGCAGATGCGATTGGCGGGAATGAGAGACAGGGCCTCCTCAGTGGTGGCCCCTTAGCTATGGAACGCCGCTCCCCCCTAGGGATATATTAAATCGACCCCCTCCTTCCTAACATTTTGAAAAAGAGTTAAAACCTGGCTTTTTTGTAGGCTTCAAAATGCTCTTTGATTGTAGGTGAACTGTGAATCCCAGTGACTACAACTCCCAAATGTCAAGGTCTATTTCCCCCAAATTCCATCTGTGTTCATATTTGGGCGTATTGAGTGGTTGTGCCAAGTTTGGTCCAGATCCATCATTGTTTGAGTCCACAGTGCCCTCTGGATGGAGGTGAACTACAACTCCCAAACTCAAGGTCAATGCCCACCAAACCCTTCCAGTATTTTCTGTTGGTCATGGGAGTTCTGTGTGCCAAGTTTGGTTCAATTCCATCGTTGGTGAAGTTCAGAATTCTCTTTGATTGGAGGTGAACTATAAATCCCAGCAACTACAACTCCCAAATGACAAAATCATAATTTTTTGAGTGATGGTCACTCCTTGTGTAGTGAGACTTTTTGTTGCCAAATTTGGAGTGATTTCGTTCATTGGTTCTTTTGTTTTTAAGGTACTCATTATGCACAGAGCATTTATATATATATATAGATATAGTAAATAAATAAATAACCGAACACCATTAAATTACCTAATTTCTTGTCCCAGCATAGCATAGAGTTGCACTGGAGATTTCTAGAGATATATGCTAGGTTAGTCAATGCAACTTCATGGTATCTATGATTTTAAATTTAAATATGCATTGAATAGGTTTGAAAGGTTTTTAACTGTTTATATTTAATTCTGTTTTAATGTATATTTCAAACAGTGTACTACTGCTTTTATGTTAAGCAGCTTTGAGTCCCCTTCGGGAGAGATAAAGCAGGGTATTATTATTATTATTATTATTATTATTATTATTATTATTGGGTTGTTGTAGGTTGTTTCGGGCTATATGGCCATGGTCTAGAGGCATTCTCTCCTGACGTTTCGCCTGCATCTATGGCAAGCATCCTCAGGTGTAGTGAGGTCTGTTGGAACTAGGAAAATGGTTTTATATATCTGTGGAATGACCAGGGTGAGACAAAGGACTCTTGTCTGCTGGAGCTAGGTGTGAATGTTTCAACCGACCACCTTGATTAGCATATAATGGCCATCAAAGCCAGAATTGAAAAGTCGACAACAGATCCCAAATGTAGACTCTGCAAGGAAGCAGCTGAAACAATAGAGCCCATCCTCAGCTGCTGCAAGAAGATCGTGCAGACAGACTACAAGCAGAGGCACAACACCGTTGCTCAGATGATTCATTGGAACTTATGCCACAAATTACATCTGCCTGTGACAAAGAACTGGTGGGACTGCCTGTGACAAAGAACTCGGTAGTCCACACTCTGGTTACATCCTGAATAGACTACTGCAACTTGCTCTTCATGGGGCTGCCTTTGAAGACTGTTCGGAAGCTGGACATAGTCCAACGGGCGGCAGCCAGATTGCTCACCAGAGCGGCATACAGGGAACACACAACTTTGCTGTTACATCAGCTCTCTGGCTGCCAGTCTGTTACCAAGCGCAATAGAAAGTTCTGGCTTTGGCGTATAAAGCCCTAAACAGTTCTGACCCTGTTTACCTGTCTGAACGTATCTCCCTCTATGAACCAGCTAGGTGGTTAAGATCTTCCAGGGAGACCCAGCTCTCAATCCCAGCTCCCTCGCAAGTGCAGTTGGTGGTGGCCCCTCGGCTTTGGCATTCCCTCCCCAGCGAAATTAGATTAGCCACCTCCCTCCTGACCTTCAGGAAAGAGTTTAAAACTTCGATGTAGGACCAAGAGTTTGGTTTGTAATCACTATCAGTACAAAAAGAGAACATAGAATTATGCCATGACAATCTGGAACGGCCACAGACTACGATATTGGACTGCGTGATTTTAATATTCGATATGCTTTTAATGGAGCCCCCAGTGGCACACTGAGCTGCTGATCTTGTTGACCTAAAGGTCGTAAGTTTGAATCCGGGGAGTGGCGTGAGCTCCCACTGTCAGCCCCAGCTTCTGCCAACCTAGCAGTTCAAAAACATGCAAATGTGAGTAGATCAGTAGGTACCGCTCCAGCAGGAAGGTAACGGTGCTCTGTGGAGTCATGCCGGCCACATGACCTTGGAGGTGTCTATGGACAACGCCAGCTCTTTGGCTTAGAAATGGGGATGAGCACTAACCCCCAGAGTTGAACACAGCTAAACGTAATGTCAGGGGAAAACCTTTACCTTTACTACTAAGCTTTAGATGATGGTTTTAATATATATATGTTTATTATATTGATGTATGTTCTTATGGCATTGAATTGCAGCCTATATATGTGGAGCCGCCCTGATGGGAATTAATGTTAAGGAGGAGGTGGTTGTAGGAAAAACACATATCGACGTAATGATTCTGAGAAGCCCAAAAACTCTTTGACCGTCTGCCTTTTCTTTCTCTCGTTCCAGGAAGTGCTACTCAAGAGAGCGGCTGATCTGGTAGAAGCATTATATGGGATGCCACACAGTAACCAGGTAAGCTGCCATTCTCCTTTGACTTTAGTGGCTTTATTTATTTATGTAAAACATTGATATTCCGCCCTTCTCACCCCGAAGGGGACTCAGCACAGCATATACACGGCAAACATTCAATGCCGGGACACAAATTCTTATATACATATGTAAACATTAAAAAACATTTAACAAAATATTAAAATATACCATTCAAAACCATCCTAGTCATCCACGTCAATCTAATTGGGCTGGTCATCTTTCCTATTGCCTCTCTCTTGCCCTGTCCCAAAAGCTTGGTCCCACAGCCAGGTTTTTACCATCCTTCCAAAGGACAGGAGGGAGGGGGCCGACTTGATCTCACCAGGAAGGGAGTTCCATAGCCGGGGAGCAATCACTGAGAAGGCCCTCATCCCTACCAATCGTGCCTGTGACAATGGCGGGATGGAAAGCATTACAATTGAAGAGAGATATTGACAAGCTGGAATGTGTCCAGAAGAGGGCGACTCAAATAATCAAGGGTCTGGAGAACAAGCCCTATGAGGAGCGGCTTAAAGAGTTGGGCATGTTTAGCCTGAAGAAGAGAAGGCTGAGAGGAGACATTATTATCACTTTTTTATTTGTACCCCGCTAGCATCTCCCGAAGGACTCGATGCGGCTTACTTAGACCAAGGCCTCAAAACACAAAACAACAATACTACACCACAATACAACAATACAATAACGTGATGAGGGCCATGTATAAATATGTGAGAGGAAGTCATAGGGAGGAAGGAGCAAACTTGTTTTCTGCTGCCCTGGAGACTAGGATGCAACGGAACAATGGCTTCAAGAGACAGGAAAGGAGATTCCATCTGAATATTAGGAAGAACTTCCTGACTGTGAGAGCCATTCAGCAGTGGAACTCTCTGCCCCGGCTTCTTTGGAAGCTTCTTTGGAAGCTTTGAAACAGAGGCTGGATGGCCATCTGTCAGGGGTGATTTGAATGCAATATTCCTGCTTCTTGGCAAAATGGGGTTGGACTGGATGGCCCATGAGGTCTGTTCTGGTATGGCTGTACCAGGAGCTCCTACTTTATTTGCTTTGTATTAAATGTTTGCTTGTAGTCCAAGGTTCCTGGGAATTCTGCAGACTGGTAGCTTCTTTTGGCTGCAGTCATAGGGCAAGTCACCTGTCCATCGTTAAGTTTCGGTCCCGCCCCTTGCTCAGGGCAATTGGGAAGGGAAGGGAGTCATTGTTTTAGTTAGTCTCAGCAAGGAAAGCTAATGTGTGCAAGCTTCCCCTTTACAAAAGCTTCAACCCTTAAGACTTTCCGGGAGGAAACAGTCTTAAGAGCAAACCAGAGAACTCCAGGGAAGCCTCCCCAAAGCTTTGCGGACTTTCCGGGAGAGAACAGTCTTAAGAGCATCCAAAGACCTCTGAAGATTTTCGGGGAAACAGCTCTAAAGCCTTGAGGAAATTCAGAGGGCGAACAGTTTGGAAGACCAAAGAACTCCAGCTGGAGAATCTACTGGCCTTACTGGTAGGTCCACTCGGTGTTTCGAGACGCAGTTCGACCCGGTAGCAGAGCCCACATCAGTAAGGATTAGATTACAGTCAGCCTGGGAGAAGTTAAAAGGGGGTTTTCCTTTAAAGAAGAAGTTACTGAAGACAACTGTCCTTCGTGGGCAAGATTAGGAATTCACCAGTTGCCTAAAAGCCTGGAATCATTTGTTTAATTTTACTGAAGACAAGAAAAGTTTTGTTTGATTGTTTATTAATAAAGGACTTCGTTGTACTTCACATCTAAAGACTATTTGTGGTGAAACCCTCTGAGAACTTCTCTTTGGGCCCCCTGGCTTCCCACTGGGCAAACGTTGCACATCCTGTTCTAAAGACAATTATTTACAGGCCCAGCATGCGACAGAACACAAATGATCAAGGGTCTGGAGAACAAGCCCTATGAGGAGTGGCTTAAGGAGCTGGGCATGTTTAGCCTGAAGAAGAGGAGGCTGAGAGAAGATATGATAGCCATGCATAAATATGTGAGGAGAAGTCACAGGGAGGAGGGAGCAAGCTTGTTTTTTGCTTCCCTGGAGACTAGGACGCGGAACAATGGCTTCAAACTACAAGAAAGGAGATTCCATCTGAACACGAGGAAGAACTTCCTGACTGTGAGAGCCGTTCAGCAGTGGAACTCTCTGCCCTGGAGTGTGATGGAGGCTCCTTCTTTGGAAGCTTTTAAACAGAGGCTGGATGGCCATCTGTCGGGGGTGCTTTGAATGCAGTTTTCCTTCTTCTTGGCAGAATAGGGTTAGACTGGATGGCCCAGGAGGTCTCTTCCAACTCTTTGATTCTATCCTTCTCTTTCATGATCAGAAAATAAGTGATGAGTGGGGAGAAAAGGCTTGGTGTTTATACACACTGGGAAGTGCTTATTAATACCTTGTTAATGATGCATTGCAAACCCATACTATATGTCCACCCAAAAGCCCAAACTTTGAGCTGCGCATGTTGAATCAAAGCCTATTGTGCTGCTTGGATGCCTTCTTCAAAGCTCTAGCTAAACCCAAGTGCAATACTCCTTATGCACGGCCACCCCAGGAGCTACAGCAGTCCATTACTGCCTGCGACAGGTGCGCATACGGACACTGGTTGTTTGCATCACACTTGTACGCAGCCTCAGGGCTCCCTGCTTCATCTGGCGCGTTTTATGTCCTCGTGAGCGCCGTGCCAGTAATGATTTCCATGCTTTGGGCCCGGTTCCTTCCCTTCCCTGAGCTTCCCCACAACCTTGCGCCGCTGATCCGCCTCCAAGGCCCACATCTGGTCGTCGTTAGGAATTCCAGCGCCGTTAAGTCAGTCACGGGCTCCCAAGCAGCCCCCTCTTTTCCATCAGCCCGGACGGACGACGGTGTTCTCACAGCTCAGTAGCGGTTAACACCACCTGGGCGGATGTGGCTGCGGTTCCTGCAGAGGCGGACGGTCAAGGCACGGCGGGGGAGGCACTTGGCACTCCTCGGGCCTTTGTCTCCCTTTCCCCGGGCTCGGCTCTGCCTCACACTTCCTTCCCAGAGCAGGGATCGCCCTGTTTGGGGCCACCGTTGCACAGCATGATGCGCCCCACATTCTTTTTGCTTCTTGGAAACAAAAGCTAGTCTAGTCCAAATCTGGATGCATTCTTCTCTATGGAATGAATGCAGTTTGACACCCTTTGGACTGCCATCGCTCAATGCTAAGGAATCCTGGTAGAATGCATGCAGTTTAACACCCCCTTGGATTGCCATGGCTCGATGCTGTGGCATTCTGGGAGCTATAGTTTTACAAGGTCTTTAGCCCTCTCTACTCCAAGAGTTCCTGTGCATCATCAAACTATAGTTTAGTGCAGTGTTTCTCAACCTGGGGGTCGGGACCCCTGGGGGGGGGTCGTGAGGGGGTGTCAGAGGGGTCCCCAAAGACCATCAGAATATACAATATTTTCTGTTGGTCATGGGAGTTCTGTGTAGGAAGTTTGGCCTAATTCTATCCCCGGGGGGGGGGGGAGGTTCAGAATGCTCTTTGATTGTAGGTGAACTATAAATCCCAGCAACCACTACTCCCAAATGTCAAGGTCTATTTTCCTCAAACTCCACCAGAGTTCACATTTGGACATATTGAGTGTCCGTGCCAAGTTTGGTCCAGATTGATCATTGTTTGAGTCCACAGTGCTCTCTGGATTTAGGTGAACTACAACTCCCAAACTCAAGGTCAATGCCCACCAAGCCGTTCTAGCATTTTCTATTGGTCATGGGATTTCTGTGTGGCCAGGTCTGATTCAATTCCATCATTGGTGTTTTGAAAGCTCTCTGATTGTAGGCGAACTATAGACCCCAGCAACTACAACTCCCAAATGACAACATCAATCTCCTCCAACCCCACCAGTGTTCAAATTTGGGCATTTCGGGTATTTGTGCCAAATTTGGTCCAGTGAATGAACATCTATCCTGCATATCAGATATTTACATTACGATTCATAGTAGTAGCGAAATTACAGTTATGAAGTAGCAACTAAAATAATGTGATGGTTGGGGGGTCACCACAACATGAGGAACTGTATTAAGGGGTCACGACATTAGGTAGGTTGAGAACCACTGGTGTAGTGGAAGCTCCTTCTTTGGGAGCTTTTAAACAGAAGCTGGATGACCATCTATCAGGAGTGCTTTGATTGTGCTTTTCCTGTGGGAACCTACTCTGATGAAGGGTTCATCTTCCACCTCAGCATTAGAAAGAACTTCTTGGCTGTAAGGAGAGCTGTTCAGCAGTGGAACTCTTTGCCTCAGAGTTTGATGGAAGCTCCTTCCTTGGAAACTTTTAAATGGGCTGGATGGCCATCTGTCAGGAGTGCTTTCATTGTGCTTTTCCTGCATGGCAGCGGGTTGGATTAGGCGGCCCATGCGGTCTCTTCCAACTCTATTATTCACTGTAGAAGGAATGCAGTTTGACACCCCTTAGACTGCTGTGGCTCAATGCTGAGTTCCGGGAGCTGTAGTTTTACAAGGTCTTTAGCCTACTCTGACAAAGGGTGCATCTTCCACCTGAGCATTAGAAAGAACTTCTTGGTTGTAAGAAGAGCTGTTCAGCAGTGGAACTCCTGCCTCAGAGTTTGATGGAAGCTCCTTCCTTGGAAAATTTTAAACGGGCTAGATGGCCATCTGTCAGGAGTGCTTTGATTGTGCTTTTCCTGCATGGCAGCAGGTTGGACTGGCGGCCCATGCAGTCTCTTCCAACTCTATTACTCTATGATTAATTATAGAATGAATGCAGTTTGACACCCCTTAGACTGCTGTGGCTCAATGTTGAATTTGGGGAGCTGTAGTTTCACAAGGTTTTTAGCCTTCTTTACCCCAAGAGTTCTGGTGTGTAGTCAGACTACAAATCCTGCAATTCCATAGCACTGAGCTAAGGCAGTTAAGTGGTGTTCAATGAGGAGAGGCGGGTAAGAAATAAAATAATAATAATAATAATAATAATAATAATTATTATTATTATTATTATTATTATTATTATTATTATTATTTTATTGACACAAAAACACAGTACGTCACAGCAAATGAGATCTATATGCTGGATTTCATATCAAAAAAATCACAAGTCGAACACTTCCCAAGCGTCTAAGACAGTGTGATATTATTATTATTATTATTTATTATTTATTATTATTTCTACAATGTAGATCTGACATGAGCTCCCCAGGTATTTTGGACTTCAACTCCCACAATTCCTAACAGCCAAAACAACCTGGAGGGTACAAGTTTCACATGCTTGGTGTAGATGCACCCTAAGACAAACCATAATAATAATAATAACAACAATAACAACAACAACAACAACAACAACAAGCTATTCGAACCAATGCCATCAAAGCCAGAATTGAAAAGTCAGCGACAGATCCCAAGTATAGACTCTGCAAGGAAGCAGATGAAACAATCGATGCCATCCTCATCTGCTGCAAGAAGATCGCGGACAGACTACAAGCAGAGGCACAACACCCTTGCTCAGATGATTCATTGGAACTTGTGCCACAAACACCATCTGCCTGCGACAAAGAACTGGTGGGATCACAAGCCGGAAAAAGTTACAGAGAATGAACACGTCAAGCTACTCTGGGACTTCTGGATTCAGACAGACAGAGTTTTGGAGCACAAGACTCTTGACCTCACGATCGTGTTAAAAAACAAAGTATGGGTTGTCGATGTTGCAATCCCAGGTGACAGCAGGATAGAAGAGTAACAGCTGGAAAAGATGACACGATATGAGGAATTAAAAATCGAACTGCAAAGACTCTGGCACAAGCCAGTCAAGGGGGTCCCAGTGGTGATCAGCACACTGGGTGCAATGCCTAAAGACCTTGGCCTGCACTTAAACACAATTGGCACTGACAAAATTATCATCTGCCAGCTGCAGAAGACCACCTTACTGGGATCTGCACGCATTATTTGCAGATACATCACACAGTCCTAGACACTTGGGAAGTGCCTGAAGTGTGATCCAATACAAAAGCCAGCAGAGTGTTTGCTGTGGACTCATTTTGTTGTGTGTCAAATAATAATAATAATAATAATAATAATAATAATAATAATAACAACAACAACAACCACATTGAATCAAAGCAAAAGCCTGTCTAGTCCAACACTGTCTTTCCGTAGTAGTCAATGTGCTCTCCCAAAGGTTGCCCACCAGAATAGAAGTAGACCGACCATCTCATATTTCCCAATAACTGATAGAACCATAGAAATTGATTGTCCATGCCTGATATACATGCCTATTTTATATGTGGCCATTCTCTTTTGCCTCCCCAGGACATAATCCTGAAGCGGGCAGCAGACATCGCCGAGGCTTTGTACAGCGTCCCACGCAACTCCAACCAGTTGTCCTCCTTGGCTGGGAACCATGGCCATTCGGGGATGATGGGCGTCAACTCCTTTGGGAGCCAACTGGCCATCAACCTCAGCGAATCTGCTCAGGGTTCAGAGCAAGGTAGGGAAACGGGCACCGCCTCAGTGCTTCCATGCTATTCATCCTTAAGAACTGTCACAACTGCAGAATAAGTGCAAGACTATGATTTTCCTCCATCTCTGTGCAGCCTAGAATTGCATTGAGGATTTTTTGCTGCTGCATCACACTGTTGGCTCATGTTCAGCTTGTTGCTTCATCTATGAAGGTTTTTGGATCCAGATCATGTCCTATGAGGTGTGAGCTATCTCTCCCCATTTGGTGTCATTGCAAATGTGATCCCCATGTACTCTATTCCATCATCTATCAGGAACATGGGAGGCAGGGCCCACTCAGTAGTGGCTCCCATATTGTATTTATTTATTTATTTACAGCTTTTATATTCCACCCTTCTCACCCCGCAGGGGACTCAGGGCGGATCACAGTGTACACATATATGGCAAACATTCAATGCCAATTTTGACATACAAACATATACAGACATACACAGAGGCTATTTAACATTTTCTGGCCGCCAGGGGAGCTGCGACGCTGATGAAGCACTTCTGCATTCCCCGCATGCTTCCCCGCTGGAATGCTCTGCTGGAGTCTTCTTTATGGCCTCATAAATCAGTTAATTTAGCCTCCCCACACTTTAAGGTGGTACCTAATTTTCCTACTTGACAGATGCAACTGTCTTTTGGGTTGCAAAGGTTGACAACAGGCTACCCACAATTGGTTGGAAACCCACTCCAACCCGGGCTGGCTTCGAACTCATGACCTTTTGGTCAGAGTGATCTTAATGCAGCTGACACTCAGCCAGCTGTGCCACAATCCCGGTGCTAGAGCTTCCTTCCCATAGATAAAAGAACCCTTTCCTTTTGCCAAAGGAAAGGAAAGACTTTTCTGTTTCAGCAGATATTTGAGGACTGACTGCTTAAGAGGCTTTCTTATGCTTTGAAGTTTATTTGCACTCCAACCCCCTTTCATTTATATACATCAGACTAAATGCATCCTCCCTGGGCATTTTCCAGCACAACTGTATGGTGTTCATAGGCCAAAACTCCATCATTTCAGTAGGCTGTTAGGAATTGTGGGAGTTGAGGTCCAAAACACCTGGAGGGAGGGCCGAAGTTAGCCCATGCCTGATCTAGATCCTCCAGAATGAATATATGCATTGGATATTCTAAGGCAGACTGCTGCAAAATATGGATGTTCTATGCCTTACTAATGGCCCGGCTTTCCCACTCCTTCTTTGCAGGATACACCCGGAACACGAGCAGTGTCTCTCCGCGTGGCTATGTGCCCAGCTCCACTCCGCAGCAGAGCAGCTACAACAGCATCACATCCAGCATGAACGGATACGCGGGGGCTGCCATGACCGGCCTCGGGGTCCCCGGCTCCCCCAGTTTCCTCAACGGCTCCACTGCCAACTCCCCCTACGCCAGTGAGTGCCTGCCTTGCATCCATGTGTCGGGGTATGCTCAAATGTCCACCTATTACAGGCATGGCCAAACTTTGGCCCTCCGGGAAATTTGTACTTCAACTCCCACAATTCCTAACAGCCTCCTGGTTTTTAGGGATTGTGGGAGTTGAAGTCCAAAGCATCTGGAGGCCCGAAGTCTGCCCATACCTGCTCTATTACCAAATACACCAAATTTCCAGGATTCTTTAATCCAATCAAAACACTGGAGGCAAAGAGATTGTTCAACAGGTTTATTTGGTCAACTCACCCTGCCAGGTGAACAAGTAAAGTGCCACACACACAACTGAGACATGGCTTAGTTTTATAGTCAACACCTTCAGCGTGCGCACAGGCTATTTTCTCCCATTCATGCTCCATCTCTATCTCTTCCTTTTGTTCCCTTCTGATACCAGCTCTTATCAATATTCCTGCAACTGCTTTCGCTCCCTTCCTGTCTCCTTCCTTCCTTCTTTCTTTCGCTTCCTTCTTGTCTCTTTCTTTCTTTCTTTTTTCTTTCTTTCTTTTCGCTCCCTTCTTGTATGCTTCTTTCTTTCTTTCTTTCTTTCTTTCTTTCTTTCTTTCTTTCTTTCTTTCTTTCTTTCTTTCGCTCCCTTCTTGTCTCCTTCCTTCCTTCTTTCTTTCACTTCCTTCTTGTCTTCTTCCTTCTTTCTTTCTTTCTTTCTTTCTTTCTTTCTTTCTTTCGCTCCCTTCTTGTCTGCTTCCTTCCTTCTTTCTTTTGCTCCCTTCTTGTTTCTTTCTTTCTTTCTCTCCTTTCCTGTCTCCTTCTTTCCTTCTTTCTTTCGCTCCTTCTTGTCTGCTTCCTTCCTTCTTTCTTTCGCTCCCTTCTTGTTTCTTTCTTTCTTTCGCTCCCCTCCTGTCTCTTTCTTTCTTTCTTTCTTTCGCTCCCTTCCTTTCTCCTTCCTTCCTTCCTTTTTTCTTTCCCTCCCTTCTTGTCTGCCTCCTTCCTCCTCTCCTTTTACCTATCCCCCCTTCACTTCTTCCCTTCTTATCTCTTTTCCACCCTTCCTCCTTTCTTTTTCTCTCTTTTCTCCTCCCAAAACCACTCGTATTTCCTCGAATCTAGTCCGCCATAGAATCTAACGCACACCTCAATTCTCAAAAAAACTATTTGCTGGCGAATGTAATGCATGGCAGCAAAAAGTGTGCTCTTTGTAATTCGGTCAAAAAAGGTGTGCATTCCAGTGGCTGCCTGCTTAGAATTCCTTCTTTCCAAACAAAAGTGTTACACTTCCAAAGCTTTCATCAATGGGAAAGAAAACCTTGGGTTGCATCTATGCTGGGGAATGGATCTATTTTAATTGACTTCTCTCAATGCTATGGAGTTATGCTGGCTGTGGTTTTACCAGGCCAAAGGATGCTCATGCCTCACCAAACTACAAATCCCAGCATTGAATATCCTTGAGCCCTGGACATTAAATGAGAGATGAGGTCTGTTCTGTCGCACACTGGGCCTGTAAATAATTTCCTTTAGAACAGGACGTGCAACCTTTGCCCAGCAGGAAGCCAGGGGGCCCAAAGAGAAGTTCTCAGAGGGTTTCCCCACAAACAGTCTTTAGATGGCTTGAGAAGTACAACATAGTCTTTTATTAATGAACAATCAAACAGAAACTTCTCTTGTCTTCAGTAAAGTTAAGCAAATAATTCCAAGCTTTTAGGCAACTGGTGAATTCCTAATCTTGCCCATGAAGGACAGGCAATTGTCTTCAATAACTTCTTCTTTACTTTAAAGGAAAATCCCCTTTTTTAACTTCTCCCAGGCTGACTGTAATCTAACCCTTACTGATGTGGGCTCTGCTACCGGGTCGAACTGCTTCTCAAACGCCGAGTGAACCTACCAGCAAGGCAGTAGATGTTCTCCAGCTGGAGTTCTTTGGTCTTTAGGGCTGTTTTCCTGGAAAGTCTTAAAGCTTTGGGGATGCTTCCCTGGAAATTCTTAAAGGTTGAAGCTTTTGTATAGGGGAAGTTTACACACATCCTATACATAAGCTTTCCTTGCTGAGACTAACTAAAAAATGGCTCCCTTCCCAATTGCCCTGAGCAAGGGGCGGGATCAAAACTTAACGATGATGGACAGGTGACTTGCCCTATGACTGCAACCAAAGGAAGCTACCTATCTGCACCTATCTGGACTGCAAGCAAACATTTAATTCAAAGCAAACAAAATTGGAGCTCCTGGTACAGCTGTGCCAGAACAAGGTCCCTCAAAGAGGAGCACCTGAAGCAGCTTCCCATTTGGTTTTGGTTCAGTGCCAAGATTACCATATTAGGCAAATCTAAAGCACACCCTAATTTGAGGAAGGTGTGCATTAGATTTGAGCCAATACAGTAAGCCTCCAGTGGCACAGTGGGTTAAACCCTTGTGCTGGCAGGACTGAAGACTGACAGGTCGGAGGTTCAAATCTGGGAAGAGTGTGGATGAGCTCCCACTGTCAGCTCCAGCTCCTCATACAGGGACATGAGAGAAGCCTCCCACAAGGATGGTAAAAGATCAAAACATCCAGGCATCCCCTGGTCAACGTCCTTGCAGACGGCCAGTTCTCTCACACCAGAAGCGACTTGCAGTTTCTCAAGTTGCTCCTGACATGAAAGGAAAGTAAAGCTTTGCCCTTCTTGTCTTTGCCAGTCATGCCTTCCAGCCCTCCCCTGGGGGCTTCCTCCATGGCCAGCTCCTCTGCCCCGGCGGCCGGCGTCTTCTCCTTCTCCCCGGTCAACATGATCTCTGCTGTCAAGCAGAAGAGCGCCTTTGCTCCGGTGGTCCGGCCACAGGCCTCCCCACCCCCCACCTGCACCAGCGCCAATGGGAACAGCCTCCAGGGTGAGTAGCCCCGCCCCCTCCACTTGACATAACCAATGGGAGACAGGGGATGGTGCTTCTCTTCCCATTCATGCAAATGAGAGGGTGGGGTTAAGTGGGCGAACAACGCCGTACGATAGAGTAGCACAGTGGCCATCGGGTTGTTGTAGGTTTTTTCGGGCTACATGGCCCATGTTCTAAAGGCATTTTCTCCTGACGTTTCGCCTGCATCTATGGCAAGCATCCTCAGAGGTAGTGAGGTCTGTTGGAACTAGAAAGGGGTTTATATATCTGTGGAATGACCAGGGTGGGACAAAGGACTCTTGTCTGCTGGAGCTAGGTGTGAATGTTTCAACTGACCACCTTGATTAGCATATAATGGCCTTGTACTAATTACATGTTTCATTTATATATCGTATTTATATTTTGTTTGTTTCGTCTCTGTTGTTGTGCTGTTGTAATTTTAGAGTTTTTTAATACTGGTAGCCAGATTTAATACTGGTAGCCAGATTTTGTTCATTTTCATTGTTTCCTCCTTTCTGTTGAAATTGTCCACATGCTTGTGGATTTCAATGGCTTCTCTGTGTAGTCTGACATGGTGGTTGTGAGAGTGGTCCAGCATTTCTGTGTTCTCAAATAATATGCTGTGTCCAGGTTGGTTCATCAGGTGCTCTGCTATGGCTGACTTCTCTGGTTGAAACAAACAAGGACATCTAATCACCTCTCAAGAAAAGTTTGCTCTAGGAAATGTCAGGCCATCAAATGCTAATCAAAGTGGTCAGTTGAAACATTCACACCTAGCTCCAGCAGACAAGAGTCCTTTGTCCCACCCTGGTCGTTCCACGGATGCACAGTGCCTGGAGCAAACCTTTGTTGAGAGGTGGTTAGATGTCCTTGTTTGTAGATGTCCAACAGAGAGGAAACAAACAAGGACATCTAATCACCTCTCAACAAAAGTTTGCTCCAGGCACAGTCAGGCCATTGTATGCTAATCAAGATGGTCAGTAGAAACATTCACACCTCGCTCCAGCAGACAAGAGTCCTTTGTCCCACCCTGGTCATTCCACAGATATATAAACCCTTTTTCCTATTTCCAACAGACCTCACTACCTCTGAGGATGCTTGCCATAGATGCAGGCGAAATGTCAGGAGAGAATGCCTTTAGACCATGGCCATATAGCCCAAAAAACCCTACAATAACCCAGTGATTCTGGCCATGAAAGCCTTCGACAATATATTATTATTGATGTTATTATTGTTATACGAACTTCCCACTTAAAATCTGAAATGGATTCACCTTTCTTCTGACCGGGGAGCTGACACTTGCCCTTGGATTGGGCAGTTGGTTCCAGTCTAGTGGTTTCTTGTTTGCAACCTTTGTTTTCTCTTAACTGCTTTATGTATATATATATATTCTGTCCCTTTTCTTCTGGCTTGCTCTTGCTTTCTTTCCCCTCTGTCTTTCCTTTCTCCTTCCCTCCTTTTTTGCTCTGTCCTTCCAACCAGACCAAACCTTTGAAGATTCAACAGACAAGTTTCACACTCCGTCTCGGTCGCTTCAAGGCCTGGCTTATTCCTAACCACAGTATGTTTCTGTTTTTCTCTCGTTTTCCTGTCTCTCGCTCCTGCTTTGCTTTGCCTGGTTTCTCGATTTCCTCTCTTTTCGCCTCTCCTTAACCAAAACCTTGCAAGTACATCCCATTGGATGCATTTCTGGGAGTTGTAGTTCAGACAAAGGGACTTTCCCAAGCTCTGCAGCTTCTGTCCCCAATTTGGCATGTTCAGAATACATAGGAATAGGAATATTGTGTCCAATTCTGGGCACCACAATTGAAGAGAGATATTGACAAGCTGGAATGTGTCCAGAGGAGGGCGACTCAAATGATCAAGGGTCTGGAGAACAAGCCCTATGAGGAGCGGCTTAAAGAGCTGGGCATGTTTAGCCTGAAAAAGAGAAGGCGAGAGGAGACATGATAACCATGTATAAGTATGTGAGGGGAAGCCACAGGGAGAAGGGAGCAAGCTTGTTTTCTGCTTCCATGGAGACTAGGACGCAATGGAACAATGGCTTCAAACTACAAGAAAGGAGATTCCATCTGAACATTAGGAAGAACTTCCTGAGAGCTGTTCAGCAGTGGAACTCTCTGCCCCAGAGTGTGGTGGAGGCTCCTTCTTTGGAAGCTTTTAAACAGAGGCTGGATGGCCATCTGTCAGGGGTGCTTTGGATGCAATATTCCTGCTTCTTGGCAGAATGGGTTTGGACTGGATGGCCCATGAGGTCTCTTCCAACTCTTTGATTCTATTATTCTAATCACATCTCCAAAATTCAACCCTGCAAATGTGGAAAGCTGATTGCATTTAGTGCCACAGCAAAATTGCACAAGTATAGCCGTTGTCGCATGCAGATGCGAATTCTTGGAGAGTGCCTAATACATTGCAGAAATATTTACTCTGACTGCAAGGACTTTTGTATTGTTCTCCATCGCACAAGGGGACAATAAACAGGCAGATTGACAGAGACGTTGTCACCTGCACAGCGTTGGTGTTCAGCAGAAGGTGGCATAGCATCATGCTCCCTAAATGCATTTTATGTGCTGGACCAGCAGGGTTATTTTCCCTAATGTGTCAGGGACTACAATTTGGCTGTAACATTTTTTAAGCATTTTTCTTTTTACTGAAAATTTACCCAAAATTACAATCTACCCTCTACATTTGTGGGTCTGACTTTTGTGGGTTTCACTGTTCACAGATTTGATTAATATGGCTTCTAAGTTCCCCAGTGTGATTTCATGGCTGGCATCCACCAGAGGTTGACCATAGATTTTCACTTGAAGACTTAGAAATCCTTTACATTTGTAGCACCTCCTATGCAACTTCATCCTTCTCTAATCCAGTGAAGGTGAAGGAATGGCTATATTCACAGTGGAGCCTTTCTATTGTCCTTTTTCCCTCCCTCCTTCCCTCCCTCCCTCCCTCCCTCCCTCCTGTCCTTCCTTCCTTCCTTCCTTCCTTCCTTCCTTCCTTCATTCATTCATTCATTCCTTATATTCTTCCTTCCTTCCATCCATCTTTCCTTCCTTCCATCCCTCCTTCTGTCCTTCCTTCTTTCTGTCCTTGCTTCCTTTTTTTCTTTCTGTCATTCCTTCCTTCTGTCCTTCCTTCTTTCTTTCTTTCCTTCCTTATTTCTATCTTTTGTTCATTCCTTCTGTCCTTCCTCCCTTCTCTCTTCCTTCCTTCCCTCTTTCCTTCAGTCTTTCCTTTATTGCTTCTGTCCTTCATTCTTTCCTTCTGTCCTTCTGTCCTTCCATTCTTCCTTACTTCTGTCCTTCCATTCTTCCTTCCTTCCTTCCTTCCTTCCTTCCTTCCTTCCTTCCTTCTGTCCTTCTTTCCTTCCATTCTTCCTTACTTCTGTCCTTCCTTCCTCTTTTCCTTCTGTCCTTCTTTCCTTCCATTCTTCCTTACTTCTGTCCTTCCTTCCTTCCTTCTTTCCTTCCTTCTGTCCTTCTTTCCTTCCATTCTTCCTTCCTTCTGTCCTTCTTTCCTTCCATTCTTCCTTACTTCTGTCCTTCCTTCCTCTTTTCCTTCTGTCCTTCTTTCCTTCCATTCTTCCTTACTTCTGTCCTTCCTTCCTTCCTTCTTTCCTTCCTTCTGTCCTTCTTTCCTTCCATTCTTCCTTCCTTCTGTCCTTCTTTCCTTCCATTCTTCCTTACTTCTGTCCTTCCTTCCTCTTTTCCTTCTGTCCTTCTTTCCTTCCATTCTTTCTTTCCTTCCTCCCTTCTTTCCTTCTTTCTTTCTTTCCTTCTTTCTTTCTTCCTTCCTTCCTTCCTTCCTTCTTTCCATCCTTCCTTCCTTCTGTCCTTGCTTCTTTTCTTCTTTCCATCCTTCCTTCCTTCTGTCCCTCCTTTTTTCTTTCTTTCCTTCCTTTTCGCCTTCCTTCTGTCTGTCCTTCCTTCCATCCATCCTTCCTTTCTTCTGTTCTTTTTTGGAAACTTACCATGGACTTAAGTTTGTGGGCTGATCATGGTCCACAAATCACCTTGTTTGATGTATTACAAACCTTGTGTGACTCCACAAGGGTATTTACACTATGCAAGGATAATGTCAGCCAATATCAGCCCTCCCTGAGTTTGACTGACCTGAAGATAGCTTCCATTCTCCAGACTTAAGTGAATGTCATCCAGTTGGAACTAACCAAGAGGCTTCCTGCCATGGAGTCCTGCATTCTTGGATGGCCCCTGTCTCTTTGGCAGGGCCCCTTTGGTTCCCAGGAATTGCAGAAAATGCCACAACGCAGGAAGGGGTAGGAATCAGGCACATGAGGATTCCTCAGAAGGGCGGAGGACAGAGATACATAGGATCCAAGAGTTGGGAGAGTCCCCAAGGGCCTTCTAGTCCAATTCCATTCTGCCAGGCAGGAAGACTCAATCTTGACAGATGGCCATCCAGCCTCTGCTTAAAAACCTCCAGAGAAGGAAACTCCGCCATATTCTGAGGCAATTGTGTTCCCATGTCAAAGACCTCTTGTCATCAAGAGGTTCTTCATAATTTTTAGGTGGAATATCTTGTTTTCTTGTAGTTTGGATTCATTGCTCCATTATGTCCTAGTCTCTGGAGCAGCCTTGCCCCTTCCTCCTCAATGGGACATCCTTTCAAATATTGGAATGTAGCTCAACCTCCTCTTCTCCAGGCAAAACATCCACTGTTCCTAAAGACATTCATCATAGGCTTCCAAACCTTGGACCATTTTGGTAGCCCTCCATTGGACACCTTCCCTCTTGTCCATCTCCTCCTTTAATTGCTTTGCCCAGATCTGGACACAGGGTTATTATTCCAGATGAGAAGACATGACCAAACTTTGGCCCTCCAGGTATTTTGGACTCCCAATTGCTTTCAATGCAATTTTCCTGCTTCTTGGCAGGCAGTTGGACTGGATGGCCCATGAAGTCTTTTCCAACTCTATGATTGGCTGTTGGGAGTTGAAGTCCAAAACTCCTGGAGGGCCAAAGTTCACCCATGCCTGCACTAGACTCCAATTGATGCAGCCTAGTATTGCATTAGCCTTCTTTAAGTGTGATGAAGTATCTTGGCCACCATTTTTCTGCACGAAAACCATTTTCGCCAAGAAAAAGCAGTGTTCGTCATGCAAATGAAAATTTCGCAAAACTATCCCAAAATGCAACAACAAAAATGGAAATCTCACTGTGGGGGACAACTAGATTTTCAGTGGGCACATTCACTGTTTCCAGTTAGTATTCAGTGGCACAAGTATTTGCACTGGGATGCTGTGAGGTTTTCAGGTTGTATGGCCATGTTCCAGTAGCATTCTCTCCTGACATTTCACCTGCATCTATGGCTGGTATCCTCAGAGGTCTGTTGGAAATGAGGCACATGTCAGCATTTAGTATAAGTAGCCCACAGACTGACTCTAGCCCTTGTAACTCTATGTGTGATAAAGTAACTCATAAAAGAAAAACACATGAATCATAGAATCATAGAATCCTAGAGTTGAGAGAGACCTCCTGGGCCATCCAGTCCAACCCCCTGCCAAGAAGCAGGAATATGGCATTCAAATCACCCCTGACAGATGGCCATCCAGCCTCTGTTTAAAAGCTTCCAAAGAAGGAGCCTCCACCACACTTCGGGGCAGAGAGTTCCACTGCTGAACGGCTCTCACAGTCATAGAGTCTTCAGCTTGAAGTAGAAAAGAAATAAAGCTGTATTCACAGCTCTCACCAAAATTGCTCTCACCAAAAACATAACATAAAAACAGTCTCTTTGGTGAGTCGTTTTCATTCCACGTTGATATGCAGACTTGTAACAAAAACAATATACCGTCCCTCTTACTCAGTTGTCTGTAGAATGACCTTGACTTGCTGCCTTATCTTCAGCTTTGAACGCTTGCAGTCAACTTCTCCCGGCATCAAACAAACAAAGGTTTTTTCAGCTCAAACCGAGCCCCAAGCAAAGCATACAAACACAATGCTCAAACACGGAGAACACAATACTCCAACACGGAGAATGCAAAACTCAAACTACAAACACACAGTGACTTACTATATACATGAGATAACAATACACTCAATTATCCCATCAATTAGCTGTGTCAACTGCAACAGAAACAGCCCTGATCCTCGCCATAAATGCAGGTGAAACTGTTCTGTCACGCTCTGGGCCTGTAACAGCTGTCTTTTCTATAGGACGTATACTTTAAGCCCAGCGGAAAGCCAGGGGTGCCTCAAAGAGAGGTTATCAGGGATTTTTCTGAAGTGATGGTCTTTAAAGTCTTTAATGATACAACAAAGTCTTTATTATGGAACAAACAACAAGTCTTCAATGGTTCAAACAACACTTCAAGGCTTTCTTAGTCTAGTCCTCAATGGGCTGGCACCTGACTTTGATTAACTAAACTTTCTCTGTAGGAAAAACCCTTTTAACCTCTCCCAGGCTGTTTACTATCTATGCCTCATCGGTGTGGGTCCTACTACCGATTCCAAATGCATCTGGGTATTGAGTAGACCTACCAGCCGAGGCTTGAAGATATTTCAGCTGGAGTTCCGAGGATCTGTAATGCTGTCCTCCCTCAGAGAATTCTTTGAAACTTCAGGGCTGTTTTCCCTCTGTTTGCTGTGAGGCTGAGAGGCTGTGAGCTCTCAGCCAGAGCCTTGGGACCTTTTTCCTGGAATTTCTGTTTCTGTTTCCCTGGATGTTTCTTTTCCCTGGATGCTCCTTTTCCCTGGATGCTCTTGAGAAAAGAAGCTTTTCTACGGGACGAGCTGGTCTACGTCCTATAGTTTAGCTTCCTTATGAGAGACTGCCCAAAAAATGGCTCATTTCCCTCCCAGAGCCCTGAACAAGGGGCGGAACCAAAGCTTAATTATGATGGACAGGAGGCCTGCCCTATGACTGCAAACAGATAACAGAAAGAAAATAAAATTGGAGCTCCTGGTACAGACGTACCAGCACAGAAACATCAGGAGAGAATGCCTCCAGAACATGGCCATATAGCCCGAAAAAACCTACAACAACCCAGCCCTGATCCTTTCCACAACTTAGGAAAAGTTCGTTGCAAACCTTTAGTAGCAACAGCAAGTGGAGTGTGTATATATCTGTGGAATGTCCAGGTATGTGCACTGTGCTCCTATTGGTGCAGCCTATTGGCTATTTTAGCTGCAAAGGTTTGATCTCGGCCACTACTTTCAGCACTAACACATTGTTTGCCAAGAAAAAAAAGGAGTATTCTTCATGCAAGTGAAATTTTTGCAAAGCTATCCTTATCATGCAATAAAACCAGAAAATAATCTTGTGGTGGCCAAATGGTTTTTCAGCGGGTACCCTCACTGTATCAAGACTCCCTTTGTTTTCAATGGCATAAATATTGACAGGTGCTTTGGGGAGATGGTGGTGGGGTATAAATAAAGTATTATTATTATTATTATTATTATTATTATTATTATTATTATTTGATATCGCCTCCCTGCCTGGCAGAAAGGGGTTGGACTGGATGGCCTTTGTGGTCCCCTCCAACCCTATGATTCTATGATTTGTGAGTGTCCATTACATCCCCAGTGGATTGTGACTTGATATTGCAATGAAACGACCCTTCGTCAAAACATATGACCTGTCTTTCCTTTGTTTCCCAGCCCTGTCGGGTCTCATTGTGCCGCCCATGTGAGCAGGGACCGGGTGAAGAGCCTCCTGGAAGGATGGACCGAATGACTGACAGGCGCCCAACACGGACCCTTGGGCTTGGAGGGGCATGGGCACTGCTTGTGGGGCGACCCGGGACCTTTCCAACCTGGCTGCGCCCGTTCCAAGAGAGCTCCCCTTGTGGCGGGAGGCTGCGGTGCAGCAGGACAAGCAACAATAACCCGGAGCTGAGAGAGTCCGACCCAGGAACTGGAGGATGCCTTTCTCAAGAAGGAAAGGGTCCCATGAGGGAGTGTCTGTGGAGGGGAGGGGGATTCAGCACTGCCACCTTTCTTCAAGCCACACGCCTCTCCCCATCCCATAACCCTGGCCTCCTGCCCCATTTCTCATGGCTTTGGTTAAAAGAGTCGCAAGGAAAGGATTCCCCCCCCCCCCACCGCCCATCCCATCAGGCTTCCCGCTCAGGTAGATTTGCTCCCAACTAATAATGGAACATTCCACTTCAAATATATCTCATCTTGATCTCACTAAAGAGAGACAGAGACATTCCCTTTGGAAACAGCCCTGGACGTTAAACCCCGTGAGCCCGGTCTCTTCTCGGGTCCTTTGCATTATTATTTTAATTTTTCTAAAAATATAATAATATTATTTTTATTACTTCCATAGCCATAGAAGTTCACGCCGATAAATATGAATTGGCAGAGATTTAGAAGTCACTTCTCTTCCAGGAGGTTCTGGTTGACATTATGCACACATTTTAATGCTCGTCAAAAGTAGAGATCTCTTTCCAGTGAAAGGAAGAGGGTCCGCTTTCAGCAATTGGTCCTGGGGGTCTTCTGGTAGGTGTCCAGATATATATTATTATTATTTTCATGGCCCTAAAGCTTCATGAAAGGGAACATGGATCTCTAGGAAGGTCGATGTCTTCTAATCACCTCTATTCCTGGAGATTTCCCCCTTTCTTGCAGACTGTCTTGCAGATAAACACAATACCTGGGTTGTTGTAGGTTTTTTTCGGGCTATATGGCCATGTTCTAGAGGCATTCTCTCCTGACATTTCGCCTGCATCTAATGGGCGACTAAAACGATCATGGGTCTGGAGAACAAGCCCTATGAGGAGCAGCTTAAGGAGCTGGGCATGTTTAGCCTGAAGAAGAGAAGGATGAGAGGAGATATGATAGCCATGTATAAATATGTGAGAGGAAGCCACAGGGAGGAGGAGGGAGCAAGCTTGTTTTCTGCTTCCCTGGAGACTAGGACGCAATGGGACAATGGCTTCAAACTACAAGAAAGGAGATTCCATCTGAACATGAGGAAGAACTTCCTGACTGTGAGAGCCGTTCAGCAGTGGAACTCTCTGCCCCGGAGTGTGGTGGAGGCTCTTTCTTTGGAAGCTTTTAAACAGAGGCTAGATGGGCATCTGTCAGGGGAGCTTTGAATGCAATATTCCTGTTTCTTGGCAGAATGGGGTTGGACTGGATGGCCCAGGAGGTCTCTTCCAACTCTTTGATTCTATAATTCTATGATATGGCAAGCATCCTCAGAGGTAGTGAGGTCTGTTGGAATTAGGAAAAAGGGTTTATATATCTGTGGAATGACCAGGGTGGGACAAAGAACTCTTGTCTGCTGGAGCTAGGTGTGAATGTTTCAACTGACCACCTTGATTAGCTTTTGATAGCCTGGCAGTGCCTGGAGCAATCTTTTGTTGAGAGGTAATTAGATGTCCCTGATTGTTTTCCCTCTGCTGTTTTGCTGTTTAATTTTGGAGTTTTTAAATACTGGTAGCCAGATGTTGTTCATCTTCATGGTTTCCTCCTTTCTGTTGAAATTGCCCACCTGCTTCTTGTGGATTTCAATGGCTTCTCTGTGTAGCCTGACATGGTGGTTGTGAGAGTGGTCCAGCATTTCTGTGTTCTCAAATAAAATGCTGTGTCCAGGGATCCTCTCACCTCTGCAGGAGTCTACTGTATTCCATGCAGCTGTGGACAAGTCTCCATAGGGACCCCCAAATGCAGCAGCATTGCCCAAACACGAATCAAGGAACATGAAAGGCACTACAAACTACTCCAACCAGAGAAGTCAGCCATAGCAGAGCACCTGATGAACCAACCTGGACACAGCATTTTATTCAAGGACACAGAAATGCTGGGCCACTCTCACAACCACCATGTCAGGCGACACAGGGAAGCCATTGAAATCCACAAGAAGCATGTGGACCATTTCAACAGAAAGGAGGAAACCATGAAAATGAACAAAATCTGGCTACCAGTATTAAAAAAACTCTAAAATTAAAACAGCAAAACAGCAGAGGGAAAACAATCAGAGACATCTAATCACCTTTTCAACAAAAGATTGGCAAGCTACAATGAGTCCAGAGGAAAGCGACTAAAATGATCAAGGGTCTGGAGAACAAGCCCAATGAGAAGCAGCTTAAGGAGCTGGGCATGTTTAGCCTGAAGAAGAGAAGGCTGAGAGGAGATATGATAGCCATGTATAAATATGTGAGAGGAAGCCATAGGGAGGAGGGAGCAAGCTTGTTTTCTGCTTCCCTGGAGACTAAGATGCAATGGAACAATGGCTTCAAACTACAAGAGAGGAGATACCATCTGAACATGAGGAAGAACTTCCTGACTGTGAGATCCGTTCAGCAGTGGAACTCTCTGCCCCGGAGTGTGGTGGAGGCTCCTTCTTTGGAAGCTTTGAAACAGAGGCTGGATGGCCATCTGTCAGGAGTGATTTGAATGCAATATTCCTGCTTCTTGGCAGAATGGGGTTGGATTGGATGGCCCATGAGGTCTCTTCCAACTCTTCGATTCTATGATTGCTCCAGGATCTGCCAGGCTATCAAGTGCTAATCAAGGTGGTCAGTTGAAACATTCACACCTAGCTCCAGCAGACAAGAGTCCTTTGTCCCACCCTGGTCATTCCACAGATATATAAACCCATTTTCCTAGTTCCAACAGACCTCACTACCTTTGAGGATGCTTGCCATAGATGCAGGTGAAACGTCAGGAGAGAATGCCTCTAGAACATGGCCATATAGCCCGAAAAAACCTACAACAACCCAGTGATTCCAGCCATGAAAGCCTTCGACAATACATTAAACACAATACCAATTGGCCGATGCCAAAGTTAGAATCATAGAATGTATATTTGCCCATTCTTTCCTGCACACAAAGGTTTTTACAATGCCAAGGCAATTGCACGGATCTCATCCCAAAGGCACATGGCTGGAAATGCATTGTAAGGCAAGGTGCTGGATAGGTGTCCCCCATAGCAACGCCTATTTACAAACCGAAACCTCTCCTGAATGGCTCGAGCATCTATGGAGACCCCATCTATGCCATATGGTTCTCTCCCTTCCAAACTCATGTTCTTCCCAGGCGTTCCAGATGTTGAAATGCCCACCCACAACGCTTCCCTAAGGGGAACTTGCTCTCCGGTCTTTTCCATCTCGTTCCATTAGCGAGAACACTGTGGCCGTTGTCTCCGATTTCCTGTAAGCAGGAAGGGCTGAAAGGAGCAAAAACCCCAGTTCGTTAAATGTTCTCTGAAGGCAGATGAATAGAGAGGCAGGGAGCTGTTTTCTTTTTCAGGAAGCAAACATCTGACACACAGCCCTGTGCTCTTGGAGGCCAAATCCAAATATCTTCTGCATTGGCCATGGAATCGCATAGTAGGCCAGATTTGCCAGATTCGGAGCATTGCATTGCCGCATGGCTCGTGGGATCTATGGGATTCCCCCTGTGATAAGGAGCACTAGGAAAAGATTTCCCGTGAAAACCACATTGGGATGCTGAAATCCATTTTCCTTCCAACAAAAGAGGAAAAACCCCAGATATTTGATCCCAACATCTCCCAAAGTAGTTCCGGCTTCCAGAAAGAGAGAAGTAATTACATAATTTGCACTATTCCCATTTTGCTGTTCCTACAAAGTTGTTGAAAAGTTTCTCTTTTGGAGTAACTTCTTCCATGTGGCCACTATTAATGACTTGCCGATCTCGTCTACTCTGCAGAATTGGTGCAGTTTGGCACTATTTTAACTGCCATCGCTCAGTGAAATGGAATCCTGGGATGTGTAGTTTTACAAGGACTTCCCTGCTAAACGACAACTCCCATAGCATGGAGCCATGGTTGTTAATTGGTGTTGAGCTGCATTCATTCTACAGTGTAGACCAGGCCTGGGCAAACTTGGCCCTCCAGGTGTTATGGACTTCAACTCCCACAATTCCTAACACCCTCCATGTGTTTTGGACTCCAACTCCCACAATTCCTAACAGCCTCAGGCCCCTTCCTTTTCCCCCTCAGCCGCTTAAGCGGTGAGGGGAAAGGAAAGGGCCTGAGGCTGTTAGGAATTGTGGGAGTTGAAGTCCAAAACACCTGGAGGGCCCAAGTTTGCCCAGGCCTGGTGTAGACACACTAACCACACAGATATCTATAAGTACAATGTAAATACATAAATGTCCTGTTGCTATAAACTTCAACAAAAGTATCAATTCAATTAAACATGAGAATACTCAATTAATTCGTATAGGGACATGGGACTATTTTGGATATGTTAAAATTTGTCCACATAACTTTTGGAAGATCTGACTAATTATTTGGAAAACATGAATATTATGTTTGTTACACCATTGTAAATAGTCCCATGCTTGTGTACTATACGAATTAATTGAGTATTCTCATGTTTAATTGAATTGATACTTTTGCTGAAGTTTATAGCAACAGGACATTTGTGTATTTACACTGGTGTAGACTCACCTGTAAACCGTGTACTCTGTACTGAATGCGAAGCCCTAAGCTATTCTCATCCTCAGCATTGTAGACACACACATAAACAGTGTGCTCTGTACTGAATGTTAAGCCCTAAGCTATTCCCATCCTCAGCATTGTAGACACACACATAAACAGTGTGCTCTGTACTGAATGTTGAGCCCTAAGCCATCCCCATTCTCAGCAGTGTAGACACACACATAAACAGTGTGCTCTGTACTGAATGTTAAGCCCTAAGCTGTTCTCATCCTCAGCATTGTAGACACACACAAAAACCGTGTGCTCTGTACTGAATGTTAAGCCCTAAGCTAGTCTCATCCTCAGCATTGTAGACACCCACATAAACCGTGTGCACTGTACTGAATGTTGAGTCCTAAGCTATTCCCATTCTCAGCATTGTAGCTTGACAAGAACAACATCTCCAGTGTCAGCTGGAGGATCTGTAGTTCCTCAGGGAGAAGGAAAAACAGTTTGCAAACCCAATGAACTTTTTGCCAAGCTGCAATGCTGTATATATAATCTGTACAGGAATCGTGCAATGTGCAGAGATGGAATGGGTTCTTATCTCGTCAGACAAGTATCCTTGGTATCATATTTGCTGAAAGAATACAATATATTTAGTCAGGGAAGAGAAAGCTAGAAGCATTCCACCCATTTTTCCTTATACAGTCAGCCCTCTATATCCACGGTTTCTGCATCCAGGGGTTCCGCTATCCACGGCTTGGAAATATCCCCTCCCCAAAAGACATTCCAACAAAGAAAGCTTTATTTTGCTTTTTTAGGTAAGGGATATCATTGTATATAATAGGATTTGGGATCCTGAAACCAAGCAGATAATAGGACCCATTTCCAAGCCCATTGGGTTTACTTGGCTTGATCAGCGAACCCCAAAAATATTCCCAGAGGCAAAACTGAAGCAACACCCACAAATGACCCACACATTTACCCACTAAAAGTAACTTATCATCCCCAACCTTTGCAATATCTTGGCACTTTCAGAAGATGCACTGCTTTTTATGGCAAACGTATCTAAGGGTGCATCTGCATTGTAGAATTAATGCAGTTTGACACCACCTTAGCATCTATGACTCATTGCTATGATGTCATGAAAGTTGCAATTATCATATATGGCCTTTAACCCAACTAAAATTTCGTAGCCTTGAGCCATGGGAGGTTTTGTGTCAGAAGCGAATTGAGAAACTGCAAGTCGCTTCTGGTGTGAGAGAATTGGCTGTCTGCAACGACATTGCCCAGGGAACACCTGGATGTTTTACCATGCTGTGGTAAACCG